TCGCAGCTGTGACTTCTCAATCTGGAGAAGCAAAGGCTGTATTCCAAGGCTCTTCCGGATGTCAGTATTCAGGACCATGTCGAGACGCGTAAGGCCAGCGACTCGTCTAAGAAAGCCCATTTCAGCAGCTGATTTCAGCAGACATTTCTTGAAACATCCCTTATTCGGTTTCATGTAACGTTTTATAGGGCAAAACGTTAGGTGAGGTGTGAAACGCTCTTACTTTCTTCCCTATCTTTCAGCTGCTGTGATATGGGAGTCCTTATTAACAGGAAGTTTTGATGCTCCTGTGAGTAATCTATTCAGAATTCTATCTTCTCACTGTGTCAGTTAAAATGCGAGATGTTCCCCTTGTTCATTATTGTGTTTCTTTCAAGGCAGTTTAATAAAGAAGGAAGCCACATCAAGGATCCTCAGAAAAGTTTCTGGCGAAGAGCCTCAGGGAAGCCCAGTTTTTACGGTTGTCGATGACAGCTTGGATCTGGTAAAGGTAACTGTTTACCTCTTTCTTCGATAGAGAGCTGTTCATTTGATTAATTCACTTTGATTACTGAAGGCCGGCATGGAGGCCGTTATCGAAGATGAGGTTACCTCAAGGTTTTCCACGGAGCAGCTCACTTCCTGGAATCTTTTGACTCGTAGTAGCTACGGTTACCAGCATATCAGGTTTATAGTTTCATGACGCGAATGTGGTTGTGTTTCTTTTCCCTATCGTTAGTCGTTTCAGCTTAAAGCTGACGGCCATTTGGTTCGTTGGACTCGCCTTTCGGTACTTGATTTTATTTCCAATCAAGTAAGAGCTCTAGCATGTTTATGGCTTTATGACCGTTCTTACCATAACTTTTGAACTTTTAGCATCGCAGTGTTGTTTGTCGGCATGGCCGTTGTTTCGTTTGTTAGCGTTTTACTCAGTGTTCTTCCGGAATCAACGTAAGTGTTAAAGCTCATTTAATAAATTTACCTAAACTAGGCATCACTGATTGTTCTTTGTTCATTTCGACCGTGAAAGGGAAATTTTGGCTCGCAGCGTAATGATTGGCTGAAAATAAGATGTTCGAACAGTTCATTGTTTTTTGAAAGTATTTCTAGTACTTGTTGAATAGCGTTTCTGTAGAAAAATGTTTCAACCTCAGTGAGGTACTTATTTTTGAAAATATAATATAATTGTACCAGTGTGGAAGTATTTCCGCTCTGAGCGGTAACATTTGCCGAGTAATGGTGTAATTGCATCATCCTTTTAACTGAGCCACAGTTATCATGACACTGTAACACGTGCAATCTTCAAAATTGTATCGTCGTTTTCGCTTGTTAGAATTTATTTGGGTGAAACCCATATTTTGATCTGTTGCGAAATAAATGTTTACTATATCTTTGAACGAACAATCTTTTAGCTTAAAACGAAGTATCAGCAGCGAGAGTATGTTGGCTTTCTTCCGCATTCTCCTGCAGTCTACGTCCGGCTTCGTCACGTTTCACAACCGGTACGAAACTTGTAATGCTTCTGAAATATCTATAGCGATCTAGGGAGAATGTCGCACGGCCGAGAGGAATCTGCGTCGCCAATCACACGTCTCCCATTGACGTGTTGGTGTTAGCCCAGGATAACTGTTACGCATTGGTATGTTTGGTTTAAGATGCAATACTGTGCACATAAGATTGGCATTCCCGAACGATTCAAAATATTTGATACGTCAGCCGAAAACGATTTTTCTCATCGACGTCACTTAACGTTGTTCTCCAGTATCCCAGCAAAATGTTGATGTGGCTTATGACGTAGGTTATCAGCTTTGCTAGACTTGAGTTATCGTTATGCTTACCGTACAGCATCCTACTGAAATTTGATTTATTTTCTCACATGATGGACAAGAACCCCAAGGGTGTTCGTCCTCTGCGCAGTTTGTCCTCATTAGACGTCAAGGGTCAACTTTTCGCGTTGTAAAGTTGTTGTTTCGCAGGACCCGTCTATCTGCCACTTTTTCTTCTCACTTTACCTGGAATATATAAGTATTATTATTAACTGATCAAGATTATTTGTTCTTCTACTATCTCTGTTAAACTTACTTTGCTTCCCTTTAGGAGATCATTTTTTGCGCATAATTCTTTATATTCATTGGTTGAATATTTTGATTAACGAGGTACCAACAGCGCCCTCAAATTAATCTTACAGCGCAAACACGCGAACTTATGCCCTTTGTGGTTCCTTAAATATGCATGTTTATTGGCCGGCTGTACGTTCGGTTTGGAGAAATTCACAACATTAATAAATATTCGATTGTCCCTGACCGGCATAGTTGTTTGGTTAACGGAGAATAATAGTGTTGTATATCTTCTTCATTCTTTGGCTGTATGTGAAAAACTTTGAAGAACTGCGAAAGTAGGAATTAATGACCTCAATAGATCCACCAGTAATTACCATCCGGAACTCTCCTAGATTAGTTGTTCATTGCTCGAAAAATGATTGCAGATTGGAAGATCTCCTGAACCCGTTATGATTGGCCATAAAAGCGAGATTGTAAAATTGTAAGTTATAGAAATACGGCGCACCTGCAAAACATATATGTAATGTGCAAATGCAGTGTTAGCTTGTTTGGTGTTGTTTGGATTTAGTTTCTTGTTGAGTATTCTGTTCTAATCCATGCTGCATTATACGTTTTTACTCGATGTCTGTTTGACTCTGTATAAAAGATATGAAAAATGTCTTAACTTTGACCTTTGTATTGTACTGATTTTAGGTTGGGCAGAAACAAGGTGGATTTTTGGGATTTTTGCAGAAATCGCTCAGTGGCCTCAGTTCACACGTATGGTTCGAGCGAGAAGAAGCAAGCGACCGTTACAGAGTTCGTCAACGGTAATTGATTATATTCCATGCGCTAAAAACAAGTAGTAAACATTGTATCAAATTTGTGCTGACGGACTAGTAATCAGAATTAGGTGAGTCAGAAGTGAACTAACGTGACAGACATTACTCCTCCTAGCCACCTTTTAGGATCATGTAGTCAGATTTGGATGAAATTGAAGTTTTATCGCATGAATGATATCACACAACACTGGCATAATAAAAACTAAAAAGTTAATATCAGAACAAGATATAAAAACAAACCAAATTGAAACATAGTGCGGTTTTAGAAGAACAAGGTCGCATTGAGCATTTCTGAGATGAAAAAGCGTGCCGAAGCCGGGATGAGTTAAGTGCTGTGAAGCTCACTTCGAAAGGCAATGTTAATAAATCTGCACTTGGTAGAGGCGGGGCTTGACAGGAGCTGACCAAGGCTGCCATGCCATGAATTGGGCTATTGCGGGTTTTCTTCTGTTATGACTGCTGACTCAGCGACACGGTGAGCTAAGTCATTGTACGAAATGCCACTGAATATTGAGACAGACGTAGCTGATCTTCTTACCGCACGTCGTAATCGACAGTCGAGACAAAATGATACCGAGTGCATAGGTGTAAGTATGAATAATTCACCAAAGAATAGCTTTACTCGGAGCATACAAGTTCAGTTTTTAGCATAGAAAGATGCCTTGCAGCGTCGATTCGCAAGTTTCAGTAGCGGGGCCATTTGAGGTCAGATAAAAGAGTAACTCTTGAAGGTTGGCATTGTCGATATAGCCGGATACAAATACATCAACCTTTTCTAAATTCTGTATGAATTTTTAACACTTATCACGTATCTCTTAAAGATTCCTATTACTTTCTAGAACAAGTTGTGGTATATGTCAATATGAGAGATTTTTTATTTTTTAGGGCAAGAAATTGTTAATTTTTGTTTCCACAAAATCTTTTGTTGTAGACATGAAGTAATACTTTTCGTACTGAAGACTTCTGACATTTTACCTTTACCGACAGTAAAGTTCTGGCTTCCTTATCACCTTGAGTGTTCCCATGAAAGCTTCCTCGATGGCAGCAAGTGCATTCTTAATTTCTCTGGTAACCTCCTATCTTCTTTATATGTTCATCATTCCTGCTGATTGAATTAATGCTACCCTGATTAAAGTTGCGGTCTTGAGGCCCGACGTTTCGAATAACCTGTAGCTTTTGTACTTGAACAGAACTCCTCCGCTTCCTCTTTGCAGTATTACAAAAGTAGCCTAAAGGAATTTTTATATAAACATGGCAGCTTATAGTTTAGCACTGATCTTGATATACTTTATTTTGGCCGGCGTTTGGATGTGAAAAATTCTTCATCTTAAGGTTGCAAGAACATGTGGACGATCCTACGAAGTTGCCAATACTGATTTTTCCGGAGGGTACTTGCATCAATAACACTTCGGTGATGATGTTCAAGAAGGGAAGCTTCGAAGTTGGCGGAACGATCTATCCGGTAGCGATTAAATACGACCCGCGGTTTGGAGACGCCTTTTGGAATAGTTCCAAGCAGTCCTACTTTCAGTACCTGGTAATGATGATGACCAGTTGGGCTCTAGTCTGCGACGTTTGGTATTTGCCCCCGATGACCAAGCAGGTAAATGTATGACAGCCGATCTTCTGCATGTGTTTTACTTACAGAAACAGTTATGTGCTGCCTTATTTACTTTAAGAATTTCAGAAAGTTTCAACGGTGATACTTTAACAACTGCGAATTGTATTCACTATTTTAGAAGCAATGTTTGTGATATATCAGAGGATTCATAACTTTTATTGCCAACATGTAGATTTTGCAAAGGTAGCTCAGGAATAGTTACTTTCTACGTATATGCTTCATGCTGTACGAAAACAAAACTACAGTGTATTAATAGTTCATCATTTCAGGAGGACGAATCTTCAATCACGTTTGCAAATCGAGTAAAAAAAGCGATCGCGGAAGCTGGAGGGCTGGTTGACTTGCAGTGGTATGTTCGTATTAAACTGCAATGTGAAAATCGTTTTTACAGAAAAACAAACCCGATGCTATGGCTTTACCAGCATACTGCTAGTTTTCGATAGGGGTTCAAAATGCAAAAATCGTTTTTATCATATGGATTCAGTTTTCAGTTTGATCCGCCGTCATTACAATCGAGTCCTGATATAGAAAATTATTTTGTACCGTTTTAGAGTATCAGCACTTAGGAGACCTATGGCCATCCTGTTTGATGTGCATGTTTTTTTGGCCGCAATGCGTCTTCTTTCACATGGGATCTTACTAATTTAGAGTCAGAGTAATCTGTACATTAATTTATTTTGAGCCACAACTATAATAATTTCTTTTAATTTACCTGTTTGAAGAGAAAAAGAGCATCCCTTCAAGTGCATGAATATTACCGATGCTGTTTTTCAGGGATGGCCAGCTGAAACGGCATCCAGTGAAGAAGGAAATGGTGGAGCATCAAAGGGAGCTTTACAGTCAGCGCATCATCCAAGCGGAGTCATGCATAAAACAAGATACGGATAATGCCATCCCCAACGCTGCGCTGAGTGAAAACTTGAAGATGGCCTCGGCGCCCGCGTAGAAATCGGAGTAATCGATCGTAGGTACTCGTACCTTAAACTAATTCAGATGTTATCCTATTTTCTAAGGTGGAATATTCATACATTAGGGACGATGCGTCGCTATCGTACCAAATATGGTGATCCGAATCTAATCAAGTTTTTGCATTTTTTGCCCCGTTTGCACGCACTGCTGTTTCGCTGACTTTCCGATAGCTCCTCTTATTTGCTTTACTTTTCTCTTTGTTGCTTTTCGTTTCGCTTTCAGTTGATTTTGAACCAACCAATCGTTTACGAATTTGCAGAATAAACAAAACTAAAGAAATGCTTGAAGCGAGCATTTTGATTAACCAATTATTTTCTTTGTTGTTGGCTATTCTGATTCAGTTACATGTTTAATTTTTGAGATTAAATATTCTTTATTCAAATATAAACTTTTAGAGCAGTTTTTTAATCTTATTAAAAACATTTGTTGCTTGTTGAGTCGTCAATATAATGAACTTCTCGATGACTTTATATAGTGTTTACTTTCAAAGATAGTATACAGAAAATGGTATAAAACGGTTTATTTATGTAAAACGCAAACAACTTTATCACTGACCAGTACCGATGTTGCGACGCGTGTATCACGGGCTTTCTTCACTGCAGAGAACTGGCTAGACTTCAGAAGCCGTTTTCGTCGCTCAGAGCATTTGAGCAGAAAGATGTTATGCAAGCAATATTTCCACCAAATCTACCTTGCATAAATTTACATGATAAGCAGATTTGTTTTGCATTCAGCTGTATGTGGACTTTATTCTCTTCTCTTTTTCACAAAATATTCGTTTGTTTACAAGTGAACATGAAAGGCAGCGAATTGACCATGGTTTGTAACATTTCGACTGAGTTACCTCATTCTGCGGGTTTTAACGCCATGACAAAAACAGTTCACAACTAGGAGATGAAAATTTGTTACGCGTTCTTCATATTTACGGTCAAATACCAGCTATTAAGGAAGTGCAGATGATAGTTAATTTTAAAATTGCTGTAAAATAAGAGTAAATGGGTTTCTGTAATCAGTCTCAAATTAAATGTTGTCAGTAAATTGTTATTGTTATTTAAGTGAGTTCCTATGAGAAAACCATTGGAATGTCATAACTGCATTCCACAGGAAAACAAAATCTCCACCGACATCTTTATTTCTCATTGGATTGACTAAACTTACGAACACTCCCTTTATCTTGGAAGGCAAGATTTAGAAACTGAGGAATTACAAATCGAGCAAATATAAGAATGTGGACAATACATGCAACATTAATTAAATGTCTTCTCCACCCGTTTATTTTCAATGTTGGATGCAAGTCTTAATAAAATCCGTGATGATAATTTCTGCATTACCTCAAAGCTGTGTGCCATGCGGGTCATGGCATTAATAAAAATATATTTTTGACTGACAGAAAGTACAAAGTTATTTAAATGCTACAGATTTTGTATACTATGAAGAAGGAACCCTTGGCATATACCTTAAACATAATGTAAGGAAGTTGCATTACGCTGTCGCACGCGTTTTTGAATGGTATTTCGGTATTTTAGCACCATGGGTTAAGACAGGCAGATGCTTAAAGCAATTTACTCTGAATATGTGGATGTCGGCTAAGAACTACGCTAACGGAAGAACCCGTCGAGATTCCGGAAAGCTGTCTTAATGATATTAGCAGTTATAATATACAAAATATGTTCTGGGTCAAGATACACAAGGCAGGTAATATGTTCTGCTGTTAATGAAAAATTCATAAGCCGTAATCGGTAAAACTTTCATGACGGTACTATCGTACAATACAACCACGTAGAGCCACATATAAAGTTTCTGCCTATGTTGTGAGTAGTTTAGATGAGAGTGCTACTATTTCACAAAAGATCGGAATTGTGAGAAATTTCCAACACCTCATCAAATTACTCACCCACACTGCAGCAACGCACTAGCCACAAAAAAGTACAATCTGAGAATATGCTGAATTTTTCTTAGTATTGGCTTGCTCTCTACACTGAGGCTAGTATTAGCAGACGCTCGAAAGCGTAATGTGCACCATTAAGACGTTTAATAAGCACAAGGGTAATTCGAACAACTCCGATAATCATGACTATTATATGAAAATCCAACCGGAAAGTGCTGTCTCGCCACGGAAGCTCTGCTAACACGTTAGCGGCCAGACGGTGACTGACCGATAATCGTAGTTAAACAACACGTCAGAATTACGTATGAAACTCGCTGAACCATCATCAGCATTACAGTGTTTCTGTGGGTTCTGCAGTGCACCATTCAGCTGGCGCTCACGATGAACTGGTACCTGCAGGTTGGGGAGAAACATCCACATTTGTGTCATGCGCGGCATTGTTTTCAGCTTTCGGCGTGACCTTGCCGTCAGCCGCCTTTTGCGTCAGATTGGAAGAAGCGACGCAAGATTCAAGGATACGCAGGGTAGCCGCGTTGGCGTCTAATATTTCTTTCACGAACATCGAACTGTTTACGTTGACATTGACGTACTTGCGGATAAAAGAGTGCTCGAGCAGTTCTGGGTACTTCGGTCGCATTCTGTAGTCCTTGTTTAAGCTAAATAGAAAACGAATACTGCAGAACTAAGTCATGAGTTACTCGATGTGCGGTAAACGTAAAACACTCCAATGAAACTACAAATAAAAACATTGAAACAAGCCTGTAAAGTGGTATCAAGCGCTAGCTCTTCCTCACAGATTAATCAACTTTGATAAGCTTGTCCATCAAAATACTTTACAAACTTCTACCAGTTACCCATATCAGACCGTTAGTTGATGAGCACGCCACTTTGCAAAGAAAGAACAAGACTAAACCTATAATATATCTAGAGAACGACAACAAACTCATGATATCACGTGAAACATTCGGAATGAATTAACTGAAGCGAGAAGTCGTTCGGTTTGGCACTCTAGACGTGTGGGGGTTTTGTGTAGCCAAATGAGAAACAGAGAGAAAGCCGCTGGCCAGCAAACCATAGGGGTGACATGATGCTGTGATATCATCACACAGCAACATATGAAACTTATGATTATGTTGTCTGATGGGTGAGCTTTACTCTTGACACTTGACTTGACCCAGCTGAAAAATGACTGAATCAGTTAAAACTGTAAGCCACTAATAAATAGAACAAAAACTTCACATCATTACAATGGAATTTTACAGCACTATGCAATGTCAGCTGCAATATGATACCTCTTTAGAACGGCTGTTGTTAAACTCAAACATTACGTAGAAAGTTAAAACACTGGACTTTAAAAGTAAGTCTTACCATAGAGCGATGAAATCACAGAATTCCACAGAAAAGACACCTTGGGGTAATGTTGGGGGTGGCTCCAAGACGACTTGCTTCAGCTGTTCGAACGGCGTTTTCCACTTCGAATATGGATGTGTGCCTGTGGCAATTTCGAACATCGTTATACCTAGACTCCATACGTCTGAACGAATATCATATGCCTGCTGCGCTGCATCCTGCGGGTCGATACGTTCGGGCTGAAACAGTTCATCATCACTTCAGTCTAGTTTCTAGTCGGTTTCTTTGTTAACCGAATATCAGCATCAGGTCAGAAATTTTGAGTTACACTACTGTCATAGAAAAATACTCACATTATTTGCGCAAACTAGTTTTAAACTGACAAATTATAACAGACCATGACATGCCAGCCAATATCCGTGATTTCGAGTCTCTTCCATCAAAGCACGGCCTTCCCGGTTACTGTATTCTTCCCACCGTCCTCGAGAGGGCGACCGAAGTTAGTGATCGACCTGGTCCTCCCGTTAGGGTAACAATCAGCGATCATCTCTCATTCGTAAGCTGAGCTACGCGCCCGGCCCGTTACAGCTTCCCCTCGTGTTTCCTACGATGATGTCCTTCATTCCTGTCCGCGATATGACTACCACGTTGGAGACCTGGTAGCAACGTGAGATTCTCTACATTTTTCTTTCGACAGCTCTTCCGATGACAGAGAGCTGGCGCTCTTCGGCTTTCGTCACAGGCAATTTATAAAATGACAAATACAAAACACGTATGGAACAAAACGATGCGCCGCATCGAAAACCTGACGTTAAGTTTACTGGTTCAAAAAAACCAGTCAATTCTGAAGTAATTACCTCTGTCCACAAGGACAGCATTTGCACAGCTAATAAAATCCTCAGCAGTAGCACTCAACCTCTGCACTAAGAACTATCACAATAATTATCATGGTATTCCAGTTGCACACGGAACAACCTGCCAGTTTTGCTGCAATCTGTAATTCAAGTCTCATGAATATTCTCAAAGATGCCCAATGCTGCAAACGACTAACCACACTATGTTTGGACTGAAATAACTAATTTTTCTTTTGTTGTTGACTGTATTTATTTTTTATTTTATTCATTATTTGGCTCTTTCGTTTGTTTTTGTTCAGTTTTTCATTCTCTTCTAACTAGCCATATTTGGTATTGACACCTGTTACCTAGATTGCGCTACTCTGGTATATTTTATCATCTTTTACTATGATGCTTGTGCTACGGCGGTGCTAAACATTTGTCTACTCCTTCTCATTTTATATGCTTATCTACGTTGCTTCTCAAAAATTAGTTTCCAAGGTTTAAACCGTCAAGCTTCAAGTTGAGAAATAATCTGAACAAAATGGGTTTACGAATCTTGTCAAAGTTTGGGCGTGTTGGTACAGTAGCAAAGAGGTCGGCTTTGAATCTCCAGAGGTGCGGGTTTGAATCTGATCAAGGGACAACCACTGTCTTATCACTGAATTCATCTGAGCGAAAAATTTAATACATGTTGCTTCAGCTCAATCAACTGAGAAACGGCTAGTAATTCGGTGGGTTATGAAAAATATGAACAGCATGGTAATCTGCTTTGGTAGTGCCAGAACGAACGTGGTGTACGGAAATGATTCCTATGTGAACGTCCCCTAATAGGGACTGCATTTCGCCTAAACGCACCTGATAGCTGATTATTCAGTGCAATAATCAGTGTAAGATGTAGCCCTGATTTCGACACTTCATGTTATTCCATGCAAAAGCACACAATGGAGTCCGTACTTACAGCCATGTACGGTTTGCATCCGGCATTGATGGTCTTCGCCAATGAGTCAGTTAGGTACCCGCTGATACCAAAGTCACAAAGTTTAACCTCGCCTTTACGATTTATCAAGATATTGCTGGGCTTGACATCACGATGCATTAGGTGCAACTCTCGTTTCATGTAATCCAGTGCAACAATGACCTAAACAAGTAGTGGTTAATATGGAATGACATAAGGTAAAAAACAGTAAATCAATTATGCACAATTACAGTACCTACAGATTTTGAAATTAATTCACTGCTTAACTTATATACATGTGCCATGCTTTAAGCTTCAGTCATGATCAAGCGACCAGCACCGGGTAAGCTAAGTTCTACTGCAGATGTAACTAGGCTGCATAAGACGATAAGAACCAACCTTCTTGTTTAGGGAGTCGAAGTTTCACATACCGCGGGTAAGCAGCGGCATAGTACATGGATATAGGAACATCATATTTAGGTAAAAAAGCCGTTTACATTTAAGTAGTTCTGAATGCTGCATCTACCGCTCAGATGTCCGATTTTATACTTGGGACAAAATGGTCATATAATGAAAGCCTCTTACCGAATAAGCGAGTCGACTAAGCACCGGTTCCGGAATGGGTCGTCTAAGGTCGGAACACATGCGAAAGAACTTGTCAACTGATGTGTCCATCACTTCCATGCATAACCAGACGTCTCCGTCACGAAACATAGCGCCGTAGAAGTGCACCATGTATGGGCATTGGCCACTCTTCATGCTTGCATTCAACTCTATGAGCATCCGCTTCTGCACCTCGTCGTTCAAGGTAACGTGGATTCGCTATAAACAACCAATCCTTAACCTCCAGTGAATCCTGAGAACGCCTACCTTTACGGCAAACACTTGATCAGTGGGCGGGTGCCGCATGGTCTCGACGATGCCGTATCCGCCGCGACCGAGCTCCTTAATCAACACTAAGTCTTGAGCTCGGATTTCATGGTCGACGCCGTCAATGCGAACCACGAACTTGTCGTCGAGGTTAGCGGGAGGGTGTGTAGCCGTTTCAGGAATCTTTGGAACTTGCAGCTTCTTCAGCGCAACGTTTTTTCGTATCTTGGCTCTTTCTAGAACAACAACAGCAACGTACATACAAGAATGTTAAACGGCCAAAGCACAAAACTTACCTTTGCTGTATCCCGGCATGAAATCCTCTTCGGCATGCGACGGCAGAGAAAGGTTTATTCGGTTATATTACGAGAACCACTTTCCAGTGTACGCATACGAAATTCTGAGAATCAAACAATCTGCGTACTATGTAAGGAAATCCTGTAAAATTAAATAAATTCTTAATTAATATCTGTTCGCTAGTAAAAACACGAAGAGAAACTGGTATCACATTCTTTAGTTACCTTTTTACAACTCAGTCGTTATATCAGTTATACAAAAACGAAAAAGAACAAGGATCAAAAGTTCATTCGGTTAGACAACAAAACTGATATCGCCAAAGACTAATAACTCATCTCCCTTTGATCATGTGTGCAAACACACTTTGAAGATCAGTAAACCTTAATTAAATGTTTTAAGTAACAAAGTCCGAGAAAAGTGACAAAAAGCAAGACATTTCAGTGAGCTGCAAAACTTTAACCTACAAACAAAAAAGATGATCTGTCTTGCACAGTGAATGATATGATCATAAGCCAATGCTTAAGACTTTTCCACCACGAATTTGGCAAACTACAAACAATGCAGTGGATGCGCTACTTCTTATCTCTGCCTAGTAAATGGTTGATCACGGCAGGTTTCAGTTCACAGTTTCAGAGAAAAATCAAATACTTAGTCATATTATGTGAGTTTCTTGAGCCATCTTTCAAGTAGTCGAAAATCCGAGTAATAATAGCCGAAGAATATTCTGCACAAAGATGATTCAACATCTAATACATCACTTTCAGCATGCATTAATATTCGTCAGACGATATCAGATATACAAGACAACACCAGATGATCTAGTTCGGGTCTTCATGAACCTATCTGGAAACAAGCTTGTGGTGCCATGTTACTGGACACTAGAACCCGTCAAAAAGTTTCATGAACGACATACGGTGTCACAAACGAAGTCAGTCATGGACGCGTAAGGGAGACTAATATTCTAATAGCTACAATTTTTTGGTTCATATCTGTTTCACAACATTCGTAAAAGCTAAATATTGGTTCAATGTTGACCAACTGACTGACAAACAACGCATATTTTCCGTAAATATACATATACAGCATCCTCTACGGTATACCGAGAAATACCCTGAGTTTATGACACTTTCTTTTCAGTACTGTACATACCCGAGACTTTTCTTGGCATTGTAAATGCTATTTAACGGCTCACTTAAGCAGAAAAAATTACTTTCTGTCACATGAAAATAATAACAATAATAAATCATAATCGAGTAATAATCGAGTTATGTTCGATCGTGTCACTTTTCAGGATATACATCATATTCTTTATCGGCTTTTGCACAACAGCAGGATTTAGGAAACAATATTAACGTCAACAAAGAAATAAAACGCAAACTCAAAACGGCAGAACAAGTCTAATGAATGCAGACGTATGACAATAAAATTTTACTACCTTGAATCTCAAGATTTGCAAAAAGGAATTTTTTAATCAACTTGGAATAAATTATCTTGTACACTATTATTTGAAATGTCATAATAGAAATCAGAACATGACCTTCATTAGCTTACGTTAAGCTAGATTGTACGCATATTTAATTAAGCTCCAATGGAGGGCATGAGATAAAACGTTAACTGGTGCAAGTGTGAAGAAACCTTAAGATCTACATAATAGCCTGGGAAAACATTTAGCTCCATATTTAAATACCTATTCTATAAATCAATGAATTGTGGCGAACATGCATTTGAGATAGAATTTCAAAAACATAACACTTCACCATTTTTGACAACTACGCTATTAAAGTCAGCCAAAATTCGACGACAAGGTCAAAACACGGCATTTCTCATATTTCCACTGTAGCTTTAAAATAACCAACAATGATTTCTGAGCTAAGAACAATTATGAACTTCAGGAACATCATGCAGTAGAAAATAAAATGGCTCTTTGTAAGAAAAACGTTTCTTGTGCGGTAAACAACAAATAATACAAAACCCTACAGCAAAACAAATCAATCTACCTTAATAACATAGAAAATCGTCTAAAGAGATTATCAGTTACAAAAACGAGAGTCAATAAGTGTAAAATCAAAATCTAGCTGGCAAAACGTGAAATCAAAATACAGCAAATTCAACAGAAAGTAAAATTTACATTCGAAAGGGTGATCGCTTGAAATTCTTTATTGTTAATTAAAGCTAACAAATCATATGACCATTGCCAAGTAAATATTTTACATCAAAACTTTTAATATTCAGTCAACAGCTTGAAGACAACTTGCAATACAGCGCAAAGCAGGTATAAATTTTACAAAAAGCATTTCTGCCCCCTTTGCCATCTCGATCTGCATATTTTCTGTAATTCGTACAGCGATGAGTAAGTATTATTTTATTTTATTAGTATCGTATAACTGCCTGTTTAAATTTTTAAATTAAGTTTACTTTAACACTTGTCAGCTATCAGCAGAGTCAAAGCTATTGCAGCCAGTCGGGCAGCATGATAGTACGGCTGTCACTTTGGCATTAATATACCAACAAACTACTCTGTTTATTAATCGTTACTTTAACCTCCTTCTACTCGTTTATCGGCTAGCTGCAGCACTAAACAGTGAGGTAACAACATTTCTTGCTCAAGGGAAATCGAGAACATTACGCAGGGTACAGAATTTGAACCCGACAACTGTTTACCTTACAGATAACTACTAATCAGTTGTTTTACTGCTCCTAACGCTGCGTTGTTTTGGGCTTAGATGCAAACGTTGCAGATTCCTCTTTTTATGCACATTCCAATAGGGGCATTCGATTTACTTCAATTTAATTATTTTTCATAGAGAGAACAAAAGTAGTCAGAAAAACTGTTGGTAGTAGGAGCAAATTTACTATTCATTTCACCTTAATCTTATACCATGATGTTTCAAAACCGTGTCAGGAATAATGGTACAATATGCATTATCCTCCAGATAGTATTGCTATTCTCTGTTAATAAAGAGAATTAGATGAGATATATTTTAACCTGAAAAACAACAAAATTATTTTCTTCGGAAAATCACACTTGTGACATTCTCAAGCTAAACGTTCCACACAAGAGTAGAAATATCTAACTTCCCCCTGTTAATCAGAGAATCAAAACATGTAAATGATGTGCTTTAAATCCGGTACGTTATCGGTATGCCTGTTTCCTTAATTCATTTACGGGAAGGGATTAGTTAAGAGTTTATGTTATTTCTTTTTGTGCGGCAATTTTTTGGCGATCATGACACTGTAGCACAAATTGCTGCTAGCATTCTAAACTATATATGTTTACGTTGTACGTTGTTATATTCTAAACTATATATGTTTACGTTGTGGGAATGAGTGACCTGTTGATTGTTCTCCTTTAACCTACGTAATTATTAATAACTTTGCGGCTTGAAAACCGATGGGCAACATTTTCTGTACGACTTAATATATCTCAGCAGAGTGTATGACGGAAGTAGTACCAAAAATGTAGCCTGCTGTAACACCGTGTCAATATAACTTCACCCTGATTAAACAATATCGTTCTGTTGCCTAGCCATATACTACAGCGCCATTACAAATCGTCAAAGTATACTGTTCAGTAATAATTACTTTTGATCGCTCTTAAAGACGCATTTTTTGGTCGTTTCAGTCATAAGTGTAGGTGGACGGATCGAATTTGAGGAAAGGTCAATCATTCGAAAGGAAAAAAATTAGAATTATCAAAAAAAAATTCATATTAACCATTAAAGCTGATACTGACTGGTTAAGAGGCCATAGAAAAAATATGCTTCGGTATGATTTGGTCTAAGAATAGTTTCGCAAGACACCGTTGTGAACAAACCCTTTGTCAGCTCAACTCTGAGGGACGCAAATGCGTCAATGTTTCACTTCAGTTAAGAAGCAATAAAATTAGTTTGCCGATATACCCAATTCACAAGGGTACTGTCCATTTTTGTTGATGGCAATTAAATTACATTAATTTGATTCTTATGCAATTGAAACATTTTTTGTGCTCCTGGTGGTCACGATCCAGCGAAATATCATACTCTCTGAATTAACCTTCTAATCTGCCTAAATTAACCTATTGACATGAATTAACTTTTTATCTTAAACGGTAATTAAACCTTTTATATTCAAATGTGTACTTCTCTAAAGCACGTGGATGACCTACATTATCAATTTCATTAACACACCGTTTTCATATGCAAGCAAAATATCGTAACTGCTGGTCAAATGACTTGACATGATCTCTGAACAAACATTCGCTTACACCGGTGTCTCTTCTCATTAAGGCCCATGACTAATCTGAATTAAAATCATATTTCTTACTGATTTGAATGACAGTACATTGCAACCAGCTTTAATAACTACTCACAAGATCCTTCGTAGAAATCATGATTCACTGTCGGTGTGTTCATTTATCAGCATTCAGTTAATGTTGGCAGCCAAAGAAGAAAATCATAAATTGTGTAAACCTCCTCGCAACTGTAGAGTTCTTCATCGAGATACGTTGTCGCCTTTGCCACTCAACATTATTCTCGATTTTCTTCTCATAAACAATGCTCAAACTAATAAAGACAATGATTTCACTTTAGAGCGATAAAGCAATTCAAGATATTCGGCTAGATGTATTGCTGACTTGGAATACGCAGATTGTCTTGGCGATTAGTTCCGGAGGCGAGCTTTATAACCAGACGGCATTCACAGGCAATACATGTGCGAAGATCAGTCTCTTCCTTACTGTCGAAGTTATGAGGAACCTACCTGGCTCAGCTGATCCAGTAGAACAGACAGATGAAGCATTTTAGGAGGTTGACCGATTCAAGAATCTCAGGTCCATCATCTCAAGCTATGGTGCCATACATCCAAAGTGAAACATGAGGATGGATGATGAGTTAAAACTCACTTTTAGCCTGGAGTGTTTTCGGAAACCTATCCAATATATGGGTCGAGAAAGGAACCCGAATCTTTCCACAATAATCCGCCTGTAC